CGTAATAACTATGATAGCAAGAACATTGGAGAATAAAGAGATTAACTTTTGCATGAAAGAACATCTATAGGGATCTATAACAAGCCCGCGAAAAAATTTCGTTGTTAACGTGTTTTTACGGCATCACATGTAAGCACTAGATGACAGGATACGCAGCCATGTATCGCTTCTTTACACCATATATGCATTTTACTTACCAGTTAATTTTTACTGAAACCAGATAATAATAGAAGAAAATCAGGGCGATTCTAATCGCTAAAGCTAATTTTTTCGGCAAAATACCCAACACATATATTTCGCGAACAGAAATACGTTAACCGATAGGATATATGACGTAGTAAAGACATTGCCCATATTAGCATTCATCCTGCATAAGTTGGAAGAAACAGTCCCAACAACTGCATTCCGATACACATAGAAAATAGCTACCAATATTATCAATAAAGACTAACAGAGATAAATAGCTATCGGGGATCATAACGCCACACCGCCGTTCATTGTATATGAAATGACAGCTAGAAATGTTTTATAACACTGATTACACCACAAGATAATTCACAGCTCTAAGAAAAATCACTGACATTTTCGAGAACTTTGAATGCAACAAAACTGTCTATTTACCTAGACAAACGCCCAATTGAAGTAATTAACTCATCCTCTCCAAAACTTCACAGAGAAACCGATATCTAAATTTAAAAAACAGCTTCAGTTAAAAAGGTTAAATGATAAGAAATAATCGACAGTTCCAAGTAGCGGATGAGGAAATACACTGACATTTAAACTTAGAAAAATAGTTGATACGGACTTAGGGACAAGTCTTAATTAAAAGGCGGGTGGTCCACAACTAAAAATAGGTACTAGATTTTTATTAATTCTTATTTTCATATAGGATTTGGGTTATACTTCCTTTTGCAATAGTGACCACAGCTAAAATCACCGACTGCAGTAGTGGAGTGCATACTTATCGTAGATGGAGAAATGGCTATTTGGAAGAACTTCCAGTACTTAAAACATTCAGCTAACTTAATAATACACTCAAGAATATTAAAAAAAATACATGAATTAAAGCGGCATTTCCCCTAATCCTTTATGAACAGATATTTTATTCAGATATACAACAAACAAACTGCTTGTCATCAGTCTAACGCCCGCATATACAAATTGATTTTTTTCTAATTTATATTTTCCTATTGCACGAAACTTCGATTTTTATACCCTCAATTAAAATATCTGTAACAGGCAGAATGAGGCATGACAGTCGCCATAAGGTATATATATTCTTGAACCAGCGTAGTCGATATTGCCCTGTCCGTATGTGTGAACGCGTCAATCTCAGCATTATAAGAGCCAGTGACTTGAATTTCTTTGTAGGTCTAGCACGCGCATATGGAGTTTGTTTCAAATATTCGATAATTTCTAAGAATTAATTGTTATCGAAATGCAGTTATTAAATTATATTTCAATTTTGTATTTAGTTGTATGTATATTTTATACAATTTCGATTTTTGTTATATTTCGGATACCGGTTTCAAATATCCCCAAATTCTTTAATTTAAGTTCAGTTGGAAATAGGGCAAATATGTGAAAGAGTTTACATTTTTACTGAACTGACAAGTACTCCAATACAATACAAATACAGTTTGTCAAGAAATTCTTTACACAGTGAAAAAATATACAATTTTTGACTTAGGGGCAAAATAAATAGACTTTTATTCAAATTAACGAAATTGTTGTTAGATGTTTTATTGCTTAATAATAAGTTTTTAATAAGACTATAAAAAAGAGAGCAAAACTAAAAATGTGTATCAAAATAAACAACAAAAACTAAAATTACTCTATTTTCAAGCTGAGAAGAAACTGCTTACACATGCGTCTTGCAATTCTGTTTCGATCTAATTCTTGAAATAACGGTGCTTTACCATGCTCTATGCTTTTTGCTTCTGTCAATACATGATTATTTTTGCATTTCTTTCAATTCGGCTGTGACATTTTTTCGATTACCAATTTAAAACTGAATACTTCAATTTTTAAAATGTTGTTAAAGTGTTTTTTATATCAAGAAAAACAATTTACAATGTTATAAATTAATCGAAAACGAAGGCAGGCTTGAAGAAAAGGGCACAGGTGGGCGTAAAAAGTACAGTCGGGTAAACGGATTAATAATGCAGAATATTGACCAAAATCCACAAATATCAGTACGGACACTTGCCAAGGATCGTAAGAAAGAATGTGACTTAGATGTGTCACATGAAACTGTACGCCACGGCATCATTCGACATAGGTCTCTTCAAGAGTTTCACGAAAGAAATGCAGAAAATCGCTTTACTTTTTCTGACATTAGTCAGCGGGCAAAACATTGGAAAAACATCATATTTTGCGACGAAACAATAGTAATACTGTACAGTATTAATGCTCCATTCTTATTATGGCGGAAGACATTAACAACATTAGCAACATTTGTAAAGCTTTCGGTTAGGTTTGGTGTCAATCTTTAGCCTAGTAGTTGGAGAACTTGCATATATAGAGGAAACCATAAATACCTTTAAAATATTGAAACACGAATTTAAAGAGAAATGCGAAAAAATTTGGCTTTATTAATAAGCAATGAGCAATAAACCAAATTTAAAATTCTATCTAGGCAATGGCTCTATGTATAAGGAAATTCATGTAGGAACATGGCTCTTCTATAAGTGTGGCAAGGCTATTAATACACCACCACAATCCCGATCAGAGCCCCATTGAACATTAGGAGGGACAACACGGAATCCAAAAAGCCGCACACGAACTGAAAGCTACTATCCTAGAAGAGTGACAAAAGATTCCTGGTGCATACATAATAAAGTTCATCCCTTCCATGAGACAACGCCTCCAGCATGTATTAAATGCTACGGGAAGTCATAATAAATATTACAATTGACATACTTTGCTTTCTATTTTAAGTTAAGAACAATCGAAGTGTTTTGTGTAAACAGTTTCTTGATAGCCTAAAATATGAGTAATTTTGGTTATTGGTAGTTATTTTGTTATGTATTTTTAGTTTTCTTTCATAAAAAAAAAATGAACTCAATAAATATTATATTATTTTATTAATAAAGTGGTGGTTTGGTAAAGTTGTATCCAGTCTTACTGTCCTAATGTCGGGTTTTATTTGTCCTTTTTTTTAACGGTCGAAACAATCTATGGAAAATATTAAGAAACGCAGATTGGACTGGAATCAGGGAATCGCCTAGTGGAGCGCCTCGATTTTATTTTTCTTACTTCTGGCATTTAGTTTTTCTCTTCTCATACACTAATCGGCATAAAGGTATGTTGAAAATTGGATTGTGAATCATAGTGTAGAAATCAGCAATGTAATTTGAAATCGTGACCTAAATTTGCTGAATGCCTTTAATTAACTTTGTTTTTGTTTTGTATTAATGTTTTTAATTTCTTTAGACATCCCACTTTTAAAATAAATCTTTGGAATCCTACAAAACTTGGCTTTCGACCATTTTTTTACTTTAACATCTACATGGAACATCTATTCCCAATTACCAACAATGAAGTTTTTTCAACAGAATTTGTAATTTCCAAGAAAATAAATAAATTTTTTCAATGTTTGTCATATAGTTGAGAAACGAAGTAAGCCGTTGTCATTGATTTTTCTCCTAGAGATAAGCACAGATTTCTGAGTATTGGATTTTTTTCTTCTAAAGAATATAAGTTTCTTAGTCTACAGAAAAAAAATTGGTAATTGTGGTTACCAAATTGATCGAGATATTCATAATTGAATCTTGGGCTCAGACCCAAAATGTGGAGATCCTTTTAATAACCTTAATACCTAGGAATCGTTGGCTAGGAAGATGTACGAGTCCGATACAAGTCGAAGTCATTTCGAAATAACGCGGGACCGCCTTCTGCTAATTTACTTTAAAGTATCTAATATTTTAAATATAAACATTAAACAATTGAATTTTAAGAAAAACAAATAAATAAAATGATTTAAATACTTTTTCTCAACATAATTTATATAATATTATGTTGAAAGTTACTGCAGCCAATTATATTTTATTGAAAAAATTTTAATGGAAGTTTAATGTATACATTTTGAGAAGCTATCAATTGATTTTTATAAAGTTCAATATGAACTAAGTAAAAAAAGTGCGTGAAACTGAAGTAGTCATATATTTGGTCCCTTGTTATGCATCGAAACTTTGCCATAGACATCAGAAAACCAGACGTCATCGCGACCGCAATTTATAATTTTCTAGTTAATGGTACAATAGTACCGGAAGCTCTGGTCACCACCAAATCATACAGTGTCGGCATAACAATAATGAACCCGCAAAAACACCTTAGGAAACTATGCAATGATACGCGAAGCTCTGGTCACCACCAATGATGCGATCAGTATCAGATCAGGAAGCGCGCAATCAGCATTTTGAACGACTAGGTCTGATTGTAAGAATTTATTTCTTTAATTGATTTTAGAGAACAAATAGCATCGGGTATCGCATACCACACTCATACAGTCTTCTAAATCATCTTTTAAATTATTTACTCAATGCAGACATGGTTTAATTTATGCAAAAATAATGTAAAACATTTCTAATATATTCTCTAAAACTAGAGCCAATAATTTTCCAGTTTTCTATGTATAAAACGTTTCAAATATAAAATTGTGTTTGCCAATATAGGAAGATTAGTATGAAGTGATACACTTTAAAATTTAAGTATTTTCAATACAAGAACAATATTTTAAGGTTGACTATTTTGAAATTTTAATTTTTTTTAAATCATTTTTCTTCCGTTTAGATTCTATTGATGACTTAATGAAGTATTTTGTTTTGTCATCATCAATCATAAATCTTTTAATATTGTACTCTTTGCATTTTTTAGTTTGTCAAGACGTTTAAGTAGATGATTGTTAGCAGTTTCTGCTTCCTCCAAACGTTCCAAAAGCTCTCGGTGCTGAAAAAAATGCACAAATTAGTATAGTTTTGAAAAATATATTGTTTTATTTTCTTTATTTTTTCTGGATGGTATGTTGGTTTACGAGGTGAAGTTTTTTTTTACATGCACTGCTAGTCAATATATTAGTCGCAACTGTTTGTTATATAACTTGATGATGGATTTAATGAGTACTGCATCCTTTGTTGATAATAGCTTCAAAGAGTGATTCAAGATCTACATACAGGTATACCGCTCTCCAAGCAAGTTGTGTTGGTGTTTCATTGCCGTGGTATTGCATTCCCCTTTAGTACACTTTCCGTATAAGCCCCACCCACACATTTTGAATCACGTTAAGGTCTGGAGAAAGGCAGAAAACTGAATTGTTTTTCTTTTAAATTTACTTAATCAAATTCCCATTTATATTTTAAAAAAATTTTTTTCAAATTTGGCGGTTACAATAAAACTCATATTTTTACATATCTAAATTGAAACCATTTTCGTCAGTAAAGACAACCGAACTCATTAAGTCAAATGTCAAATTGAAATGTCTATGAATTATAAGTTAATAACTACTCGTTAGGTTATATGACATAGGCAACTCGATATTTATCATTCAAAGGTAGTTTTTCTTAATTTTTTGACGCGTAAGTTGTTTTTCATTTCTGATTGTGGTGAACAGTTGAAATGAAACTACTTGAACTCACAACAGTACTAATTATAGTGCAACATAACGCGATTAAAAAAATGAAAATGAAAATCAAATTAACTGTAAATAACACAACTTAACGACGGTCGTACTTATGGAAACAGCGTAAGCATAACACTATTTAACATTTTCTCTATAAACTAAGGTTATTAAACCACTAGTAGACTTAACATAACTAAATATAAATATCATAAGCGGATAACAAAGCAAATATAAATGCAATTTTAAATGGAGACACTAAATGGACTGCTTTGATAATGGCGACAAGAGTATAAAAACAAACAGACGGAAAAAACATTCAACGGCAGAGATGATATGTAAGGAGAATAAAAAATATATAACTGACCTTTTTATTAAACTTTGTTCCATCAAACAAATTTAATAGAGGACGTTAACCATAGTTAGTGAACAATTACGATATTTTGAACTTATGTTTCGATTGAGTCAGCTTGTTTACAAAAGTTTCCCTTACGTTTAGTATAAAATAAAACTGGATAACGTAAATTAATATTTGTATCGCGATCCTACTCATTATTGCGTGTGCTACGCTATATTTCATTCGCTTTCATTTCGGGGTCGCGGTTATTAAGATTGACGACTATTACGTAGACAGTTAGCCTCTTGGCTTTATTAAATTAAAAACAACTAAATAAAAATTCAGATTAACAAAGGATACAAAAATCTAGGCAACTGCTAGGCAATCACTTATGGTTTTGGAAATCAACTCTAGCTGATCTAGAGAATTGAAGATGTTCAAACATAGTAGACTTTATCCTTCGATCCATACAAAGTGTATCTATAAAAACCCATAATGGTATAGTGCATGACGCGTCTGTCGAGCTTAACCGATCAATACGGAACACAATATAGAAGGCCCAAGAAGTCCAATGAGAAAGAGGAGCAGAACAAGCACAACAAGGGTTTCAACGAAGGTGACGAAGTATTGGTAAAAACCAAGGAGCTAACGTTTTTATATGATGAAGAAAAGAAAATTAAGGGGGTGTTAGTCCACAAGGAAAAGTTGAATTCATTTGAAGCATTAAATGTATCTAGAGTTAAGACTTGTCAAATAAAGATGGAATGATTTAAAATGTTATTCTCCAGCAACCTTACAGCAACTACCCGATCATGTTATAAAAGAGTGCCACAACAAAATAATAGCAGTTGACTCATGCGGAATATCGATCGCCATGCACGCATCAGCTGTAGTTGTCCAAGGGGTTCTTACGATCGACGACAGCCCATTTGAATCCGCAGAAACGACAGAACGGAAACTAACATCATGACACCTTAATAGCAATCTTTGACCACGTGGCCGTCAGCGAGAGTATCGGCTCAGCAGCATCACTCAGTATCCGCCGATTTTCGGAAGAGTACTTAACACTACTTATGGAGACCAGAATCTCCGGTCAGACAGAGGTAGATTCAACACCAAACTTTATCTAAATTATTAAATATTATATAAGCCACAAAATGTAAGTTAACTAAAAACTATTTCAAATCGTACACACCAAAACCAGCTAACAATATCAGATGTTACTATCAATGTATCACAGAATCCAGGCAAAAGAGGACAATAGACGTCGCTGATATGCAAAACAGCGAAAACATAATAGGGACGAAAAACGCCCCATTTTGTCAAGAAAAAAACCAAAGAACAATGGGAATAAAAAAAACAATAAAAGAGACTATCAGGACGATCCACGTTTGGAAAACGCACTAGTTTGGCAAAACCTCGAACTAGTGGTAAGCAAGTCCAAAAATAACAAATACGTCCGATAGAGTAACAAGGCCAAGGGGCCAGACTGAACAACGTTATTCAAAGCACCCCTAAACCAGGATCAATAATGCGAGAACGCGGAAGCCACTGTAATCGATATTGAAGATGATAGCGAATCGGTATTTGATGACCTTTACGGAACGCTCCCGTCTGCCATACATAAAACGAGAGCTGAGTGGTTGGGAAAACATAAAAAATATTAATTGATAAAGGAGCTGAAACAAATACATGGCTCAAGTTAAATTAAAAATAAATGTTTGATGAAAATTTTCGGATAAATGATCATTTTTTGTGCTAAGCACACTTAGTTCATTTGATGCTATTAATGACTTCGAAAATGCAATCAGAAGTAGTGTTGGATTCACAACATAGCAATCTCTCAACATCTGCAATACCAATACAGTGTACCACTTTTTTTACCCAGATGTTAATGATATAATAGTGCCGATATCCGATAAGGAATTGAAATGCAGACGTTTCGACCTCTAACGAGGCATAACTTTCTAACACTTCGGTCATTGCTCAAATTCGCGCCGTAGGTAAAGAATAATTAGATTTCGTAAGCAACGAATTATAAACAAATAATAATTGGCGCTCATGGCCAATAACATTATATTTTGAAGTAAGCATTAATAACGTTATCATTTATATTAAAAAAAATCATAAGCCTGCAGCAAAATTAAATACTGCAGTTTTGCGTGCTTCGATAGTTATCAAAGATTCTAAATTGGCAATGTTAAATTCATAAAGTAGCGAGTAGCAGGACAGCCAAAGCCGAACAAATTATGAAAACCCTATATATCTATCCATCCATCCATCTGCGTAGCGCTTTATTCTGCAGGATCTGAATTTTGTTCCTTGAAGTCCTCGCTGAGGAGCCCCATAGAGAGATACCATATACGAAGGTTGCTCGAAGCTCTGAGCATCTCATCGAGGGATTTTAGCTTGCTTTTGCATATTGTGGTTACTTGACTTATATGCGCTTTAAAGGTCAGCCTTCTGTCCAGAGTGATACCAAGGCACTTTACTTTTGAGGTATTCGGAATAGTGGGCCCCAGAGCAACGCTTGGGCAATCACCTTTTCTAATGGCGAAGATAGTGTGTACGGACTTTTGAGCATTAATGGTGATACACCATTGTTTTACCCAGCGTCCGAAGGAATCGAGTTATCTTTGTAGTGAGGCAGATACGTTATGTGACAAGATGGCGGTGTCGTCTACATAAGTCGCTATGAGAACTGCATCGGAAGTTCCTATATTTGGCTCGGGAGTTGGCATATCTGCACTGAATAAAGTGTAAAATGTTGGGCCTAGAACACTACCCTGTGGGACTCCAGCCATAATTGGTCTAGTCGAGGATACTGATTGCCCCTTAGACACTTGAAAGGTTCTTCCAATCAGATACGAGGACAGCAACACGTAAAATGGGGCTGGATGGTTGGTTCTCACTTTCTGCAGCAGTCCCAGGTGCCAGACTCGATTAAACGCTTGCTAGACGTTAGCCTAGAAAGACGGCAGAGCAATACATCTATTCTTCAAGGGCTGCTTGGATAGGGTTCACATCTCTGTGAACCTGTTCCGTTGTTCCATGCTGTCTCCGAAGGCCAAACTGATGATTCGGAATGGCATCCCGGCGTCCCAGGTGTGTCAGTACTCGTTCCAGAAACATTCTTTCGAATATTTTGGAGTACTGGCAACAGGGTTTGCCATGCTTAGGAATCATCACCATCACGGCGTGCTTCCAGCTGGCTGGAAAGTGCCGGATGCGAAGCATGGCATTGTGCACCATATTTATATAGTCCATGGTGGAGTCAGGCACTGCTCTGAGGACTCTGCTATTTATTAGATCATATCCAGGGGATTTTTTGCCTCACTCTTCTGATATGTTTTAGAACCTCTTCTTTTGTACATCCAGCTATCTGGTCGTCAGCTGGGAAAGGCGAGAGAACGATGTCTTCTGTTGCTTCGATTTCTGAGGCTTCTGCGGTAATCACCGGCGTGAATTGGTCTTGAAGACGATTGGCAAAAGCCTCAGCTTGAGCTTCGTCTAAAATGTGCCAGGAGCCAGAAATGATCCGAATGGGATGACGACGGATTGGCTGCCGTTTGAGCTGACGTTTAAATTTTCATAATTGAAATTCTGCGTCAGTGGGCGATTCAGCTCGTTCTCGCTGATACGCCTCTTTTGAAGTTGGGCTAGAGCAGCTTTGAGATGCCTTGTGGCTTCGCTGTAGGTGGCTTTAGCATTAGGCGTGCGTAATCGCAACCAGCATCTCCCGGCCAGTCTTTTGTGTATTAGTAGGTCTTGGGCCTCCAAGGTGAGGGGGATGTTATACACAGACTGGTGTTCTGTTTGACAAGATGGTGGGGCGGCTAGGTGCGCACGATTGACTATTTCTTCTTGCAGTTTGTTTGCTGCGTAGTCCACGTCTTCAGGAGTGTTAAGTTCCATTTCTGTATATAACGAGTAATGAAGCTCGCGTCTAAAAATTCCTAAATCTGTTCCCGCCGGCAGCAACTGCTTCCTAATGGGGAAAGGCTGTGGCTGTGCGTGGATTGTAACTACTAGTGGCAGGTGGTCAAAGGATAGGTCCAAAGAATCTTCAATGGTCAATTGCCGAACACAGATGCATTTGAAGACCGCGACATCGATTGCAGAAGGCCTTGTCCATTAAGTGGGTAACGAGTGGGGGCTCCAGTCGCCAGTATGCTGAATTGTAGGTTTTTAATCGCCTCAAATATGACTTCTCCGCGTGTGTTTGTCTGCTGGGTTTGTAGTTCTCGCATCGCTTTGAGCTCGGCATTAATTGCATCAAACTGGTGCTGTTGTTGTTGAAGGATTTCAGTGAACTAAGTGTCACTTGTAAAATTCTTATTTGGCGGACCACCTCTAGCGACCTGCGCGTAAGAAACACCATTAATAGATGTTGCAGGGCTCATGGCGTAGGTACTACTCTGGGGCCTTGTAAATTCGGCAGCACACCTCCGACCCGTAGACGGTGTTTGTGTGGGACTGCTTTTTTGTACTGGGGATTGCAATTTGCGCAACCGCTTGTAAACTCGGCAGCCCTCTTAGTTGGCAGGGTACTGTAACTCACAGTGTACACATGTTGGTACCTGGTCCTTTTCACGGGTGCAATCTTTGGATGCGTGTTTCCCGGCGCAACGTATACACGTGGGAGCTTTGTGGCAGTAGCGTTGTGTGATTCCTGACAGCGATGACATTGCGTCAGGTCGTTAAATCTTTGTGGCAGTTCCACCGTGGAGCGTTGCCTGTAGACAACTCGTATGTCCAAAATTTTGTTGTTGGGGGCCTGAGCCACGTCAATAAAAAATATGTTTAACGGTGTTTTGTCCGTACGGGTTGGGTTGTGCACATTTGTAATTTTGTGGCCTTTGGTTTCCAATTCATCTTTAATTAGTGTTGTGTCAGCGTTGGAGTGAAGCCCTTTGAAGCAGACTCTATATGGCTTGTCCTTCTTAAGCTGGTAGCAGTAGAACTCCAAGCCCAGCTTAGTAAAGTTGTATATTACTCTGCGATAGTCCTCACTGCATTGGGTTAATACACCTATATTATTCCGCTTTGGTTTAATCACGTATGATTTAGCATCAATGACTTTGTCGATTATCTGTTGCAACAAGGCTATACCTATTTTAGGGTTTATTGGCATGATAGAGGCTTGCCTGTTAGCCATCACAACGTTAAGCTGGACTCGCATATCTGCATTTAACTTTGCATATACCTTTCTAGATGAGAAAACATGCTATTTGTACTGATAGCTGAGAATATATGAAAGTAGATTAAGGTATTTCTGGTATCACACACTTATACCTCACAAAAAATGTTTCATTGCTCTATTAATATTCATATAAAATGTGGTGGAGTTTAAGAAAATTTAGCTTTTTGTCAAAATCTTAAACAAAAACGTTTGCCAACAGGATGTTAAAATTGAACTGGATCGGATCGCTCGAAAAATTCGTGATATGATTTTCTAGTTAATATTCAAAAGAAAGTATTTTGTCATACCTCTCGTTGCAGCTTACGTCTTTCCACTTTCAGTTCAGCCTCAGATTTTTCAGCAGCTTCAGCCGTACTTTTATACCGTATAACTTGAGTCTCTGAACGGGCTAAGTTTGCCTGGAGACTACCGATTTCCTGTTCAGCTTTTTGTAGTTTATATTTATAATCGGATATGATTTTATTTGATTCTCCTACGAATTGTCATGATAGTTTTATAGCATATTATTTTTGTTTCGAACTTACTTTGAACGTCATAGTCATCATCGTACTCCAAAGAGTCACTAAATAAACTGCCACGGCCAGGTCTACATTCACTTTTCAAAACATCCAACTGTTCGCGAAGCTTTTGCATTTCATTAAGAAGATGCTGTTTTTGCTCTGCAAATTTTTTAATTCTTACATCTGAAACGATATGTTTACTTTCAGATAATATATTAAACTTTTAATATACTGTGCTTACCAAGAGAACCCTGCACAGTTGCCAAAATATTGGCATTTTCAACGCTGACTAGAGCGCGCTTCGCATCACTACCATCACTATTTTCAATTGCAACAATAACAAGACCGTGTTCTTCAATTAGTTTATCGCGCTCACTTAGCTGACCTTGCACCAGGTTTAATTCTACAGTTGTGCGATCCAAATTGCGTTTCAGGGCACTACAATCGCGAACTTTGTTTTTAAATTCTCGTTGCAATTGAGCAAGAGATTCCTGCATTGTTTCACTTTTATCTTTAAGTAGTTTTACTTCATAAGTTTGAGAAGAGCGATCGTTGTCTAGTTGAGCATTTGTTATCATCGCTTTTCGAAAACGTTCTTCGACTTCCTAAAATGAAATTAAATTAAACTAATTAATATAGCAAGCAAATTCCTATTAACAATATAGAATTTTTAAGCAATAAGTAAAATAAAATACGCAATCACATTAAACCAGTCAATATTTGAAGTAGCTTGCAAGAGCTCTTAGTTTAATTCACCCTAAAGACGACTATTTAATGCATAATACATAATACATTTATATATATGTTTCCATAGTTGACACTTTCAACTTTTTGAGTCGATAATTTCCAAACGAATGAAGCAAATCAGTAAAATATTTAAACAAAGAAAACTGAAACAAAACGCATGTGTACAATTGTGCACCTTCCGATATTCTTACTTTGGTTTGATTTCTTAACTCTCTTATCGGCAATAGACATGCAGTTTTACCCTTATATGTTTTATTTTTGCATTCTACACTTTTATGATCCAGAAATTCACGTGTTTCTTATTTTTCGAAGTAGATTTGGTAATTTTAGTCTACAAAGTACCGCGAAAAAATGAAGAAGCTTTCGTCAGATGTCGAAAATAGTATTATTAGCCTAACTGAAACACTATTAAAGGCCGCAAACGACTCTTAAAGAACTCTGACGCCAGACTGATAAGTTCCTAACACCTAACACATAGGAAAAGACGTGAGTCGGCGGGTGGCTAGAAGAAAAAATAAACCAGCTCTATCCGAGAAGAATGTCAAGGCTTGATTGAAATTCGCCGGGAACAGAAGAACTGGACTGTAGATGATTGGAAACGTGTCATCTGATCGGATGAATCCAAGTTCAACCGTTTTCAATCAGATGGCAAGTAATACTATTGGCACAGGCCCGGGGACAAGCTTCAAAAACACCATGTGAAGCAAACCGTTAAGCATGGAGGAGGCAATGTCAACGTTATGGGGATGCTTTACTTGGTGGCACATTGGACCATTGCATAAAAATTATGGTATAATGTTAAAAGAAGACTATCTCAATTATTTGAAAACCTGTCTACCCAATTTTCTGGACTAGTGTGTATACCCTGTAAAGGAAAACATTTTTCAACAAGATGGAGATCCGAAGCACACTGCCAAAATTGTCCGCGAATGGTTACAAAACCAAGATTTTATGCTGATGGAGTGTCTAGCTAAAAGTCCCGAACTCAATCCGATTGAGAACCTGTGGTCAATCGTGAAGCGACGGCTCGGGCAATATCAAACAATGCCATCCAACTTAGACGATCTTTGGAAGCGTGTAGAACTGAAGTGGAACCGAGATCCAAAGGAAACCATAGAGAAGTTGGTCGAGAGTGTGCCAAACTGAATAAAAAATTTAATAGCTAATAAGGGCCTGTGGACAAAATATTGATTTAGAATCATATTTAATTTTTTCACTGAAGGTGCAAAATTGTACACATGCGTTTTGTTTCAGTTCTCTTTGTTTGAATATTTGACTGATTATTTTTTGTATTTGTTATATACGGCAATTTGTTAAGAATTAAATACATATTATTGGAAAAAAAAGTTTTTTTGATTTGCTTCATTCGTTTGGAAATTATCGACTCACAAAGTTGAAAGTGTCAACTATGGAAACACTTTTGCTCCCTACTGTATATACAGTGGTTCACAGCTTATTTCAACCAGCACCTTAAAAAAAGTTTGTTGGGCTATAAAATCTAAACTATTGGGGGAACCCCGAAAATTTAAATGCAGGTTGTTAGTGTGATGCTTAAACTAATATAAAATCAATTCATTTATTTTTTAAATATTTTTTCAATATTTAATAATGTTTAAAAACTAAAAAATGAGACCAAAACAGTTCCACAGCTTATTTCAACCACAAACTTTGCAGCTGATGAAAGATCTGTTATTTTACAATGCAACGGTAGATTCTTGTTCTATGCTTTATTCACTGTTTTCGCAGTGTGATAAAATAAATTTTTGCAGAATTTTGAAAGCTCAACTTTCAGAAAAGTGAATTTAGCAAAATGGGACCACGCACACCTATTGAGCAGCGGGAACTTGTTCTCAAACACTATAAAAATGGTCATTCCCGTAGAAAAATTGCTGAGATGGTTGGATTTAGTGATTCTACAGTTCAAAGCATCATATACCGGTTTGTCCGTGAAAATAGAACCCACGATAAAGGCAGAAATGCTCCAAACAAAATTTTTAATCCCACGGACGAGCGCTATATTGTGAGAAAAATTCGGGATAACCCAAGGATATCGGCTCGACAAGTAGCCAATGATGTTAAGGAGGAGTTGGGCAAGTCATGCCACCCAGAAACTATTCGCCGTGTGCTTCGGGAACATGACTTTAATGGCAGAGTACCACGCAAGAAGCCTTTTATAAGCGACAAAAACAAGAAGTGTCGCTTAAAATTTGCCCAGGAGCACTTGCACAAGGACATTGGATTCTGGAACACAGTTTTATTTTGCGATGAGTAAAAATTTAATTTGTTTGGGTCGGATGGGCCCTCATATGTGTGGCGTAAGCCTAACACAGAGCTTGACGCAAAACAGTTGAGGGCTACAGTAAAGCATGGCGGAGGCAGCCTTATGGTTTGGGCCTGTATGTCAGCAGCCGGCGTTGGGAACTTAGAGTTCATAGAGACTACGATGGATAAAGGCAAATATCTTGATATTTTGAAGTCCAATTTAATTCAAAGTGCTCAGAAACTGGGCATAAAGGAGGACTTCAGATTTTATCAAGATAATGACCCGAAACACACTGCGGGAATTGTCCAGACTTGGTTGATCTGGAAATGTCCGCACGTTATGAAACCACCAGCCCAGTCACCAGATTTAAATGTAATCGAGAATTTGTTGTCGATTTTGGAAAAAAACATTCGCAAACACAATATATCCAACAAATCGGACCTAAAAGCTGCATTGGTTGAGGAATGGGAAAAAATTACTCCAGAAGTCACCAAAAAGTTGGTTGAATCTATCCCAAAGACTTAAAATAATAGTTAACCAAAAGGGTGGTCACACTAAGTATTAATTTCTTATTATTTTATGTTATTTTAGTGTTATATAATGTTATTTCATAAGTGGTTGAAATAAGCTGTGGAACTGTTTTGGTCTCATTTTTTAGTTTTTAAACATTATTAAATATTGAAAAAATATTTAAAAAAATAAATGAATTGATTTTATATTAGTTTAAGCATCACACTAACAACCTGCATTTAAATTTTCGGGATACCCCCAATAGTTTTGATTTTATAGCCCAACAAACTTTTTTTAAGGTGCTGGTTGAAATAAGCTGTGAACCACTGTATATATTTATAGAAAAGTATTTACTTCTGCAACATATCCGATTGATGATAACATTAGAAAGGTTGACAGTTACGCGCTTTTCAATGGCAGTATGTTTTGTATTTGTACCGAAAAAATGCAATGTAAACAAATATTAAGTTGGAAAAACATTAAGTGACACGTACGAATTGATGCAAAAAGTGTATGGTGATAAATGTTTAGCTCGCACCAAAGCTCAAAGTGGTTTAGTCATTCAAGCAGCTGTGAGATAGGTATTAAAGAACATTCCGTTAGATGAGATGAAAGAGACACATAAACAAGTTGATCGTTCTTAGGTTGTATTGAGTTAAAGGGAGACTATTTTGAATAAAAAATAACTGCCAAAAATAATACGATACGTGTTTTATTTTATATCATAAAAGTAACTTTATTTTTTATACAAATTGTGTGTGTATTTGAAACCTCTGTATTCATAACAAAATTCAATGTCATTTAATCGATTTATGACCGTTAATAAAAAATATTTAAGCTAAAATACTTAATACACTTCAAATTGAAGGTTTTAGCCTTTGTTGTATACGAGTTCGTTGTGTTCACACGGACTGACAGACGAGCATAGCTAGTGCTACTGAATTTTTATTTATATTTTTTTATCTTTTTTATTACATGATGTAATTTTTATGTCAATAATTCAAAGCGTAACTTCTGATTGGCTCCCACAATTTTTCTAGAGATCGTAACAGAAAGAAATAGCTGCCAATTTCCTGATAATTTCCCACGTTTTCCTGCAATCATTCATGTGTTTATTTTTCTTGTGTTTATTTTGTTATTATGATTTAACTGTTTCTTGGCGAGTTTAAAATATTAAACAGTTTTTGAAAATTTTTAAAAGTTAATTAAGCTATAACAAATATCATAGCTTCGTACTGTGTTAAAAACTGAAGTGTGGCAAAATACTTGGGGTTTTCCGCAATAAATATTGCTAGGAAACATAATTTGTCACATCAAACCATTAATTATCAAATTAATAAATATAAAGAGTTAAATGATAGAACCAATGTACCACGAAAACGCATAAATCGAAAGACAATTGCTGCTGACCCTCTAATAACACAAGAAGTTCTGAAGGTTCTGACTGGAATGACCCTGCATCCAATGTCAGAAGTGAAAGATCCATAGGCATATTTTTAATTGAGGTTAATATGTAAACATATATAGCAAAGCCCTTACCATTCATCACCTCTAAAAAATAGATGGAAGCGTTCTGAGGATCTTTATTATATAATGGTGTAGAGGATTTGGGTTCCATTAAAGGATCTATGAACCAAAACAATTAGAAGCGTTTGGTCTCCAGAGCCATTCAAAGATCCCGATATTTTAGTCTGGATTTTGCCGTTGTGCTGGAAATGCCAGATCATATTCTCAATTAACTCGACGAAAGGCAGAAAAACTGTTACATCATTACAATCTTTCGCCATTATACCCAAAGTTAATAACTGAAATTTGCAGCTGCCTTTATACGGCTTTTCAAACAATCACACCTCTAATAAGGCTATGCAGGCGGTCCAAATGATACTCTTCGAAGATCACGAATATAAATGTTAAGCCCATTTGGTCCTTCCATATTAAAATTTTTTCATATGAACAAAATACAAGAAACTCTTTAAATACTTAAAAAATACAATTTTTGAGTTTAAGTGCGAAATTAATGGCCTACTATTCAAATTAACGATATATTTTTTTAATTTTTATTGTTTAATAATATATTTTGAATAAGATAATAAAAAAAAGAGAGCAAAACTTAAAATGTGTATCAAAATAAACAACAAAAACTAAAATTACTCTATTTTCAAGCTGTGAAGAAACTTCAACTTCAATTCGGTTTCGAATTAATTCTTGGAAAAAACGGTGCTTTACTGTTGTCTTTGTCTTAATACATGTTAATTTTTGCATTTGGCTGTGAAATTTTGTTGAGTACGCATCTAAAGCTGAATTACTTTAGTATTAAAAATGAGTCAAGAAACTCTTAACACGCAAAAAATATACAATATTGATTTTAGATGCAACATGAATGGCATTTAATTAAAATTTATGAAATTTTTTTAATTGGTAAACTGTTTAATAATATTAATTAAGTTAAATTCTACAGAAAAACAAGAGAGAGAGAGAGAGAGATTTCCTGATCCACCGCCACTGTAGTGCTTATGTATGAAGTTGCAAATGTCAACTTAAGTGGCAGCTGTTATTTCAAGCACTATTCAATCGCAATTTCGATTCTTCGAATAGAAAAGAATACACGCATTTGAATGACTGTGTGCACACGTACAGGAAAATTGCGTACGCTTGGCGCTGCTGTACATTTACTTATATGAATTGGCTAAATGTTTTGTGTAATTATTTTTAATGAAATTTTCAATATATGATTTACATATTCGATTGGAGTGTCAGCTTAGTAAAAATTCAAACTCTTTCACTTCTTCTTTGACATTATTTTCAACTGAACTTAAATTTAAAGAATTTTGGGAAATTTGAAGCCGATATCCAAAATATACAACTAAATAAAAAATTTGGAGGCTCAAGCTTTTAAGTCGTACGAAATACAATTTAATAACTGCATTTCGGTCACGGTTTTAATCAATAACAATAAAACGTGAATAGTTATCAAATATTTGAAAAAAAAAAAACTTGATATGCGAATGCTATACACGGACCTATACAACATTTATGATCTCTAGATTTTATAGATCCTGACTGAGCGTTTCGTCCTGATAAGGAATATATAAATTAAAGTGGGAGGCTCTTCCAGCGATGGTCGTGATGATGCAGATTTACAATCTGTCCAATGGTTAAATGATGTATAGTTCCAGCGTTCACATGGGTAGCTATATGCAGTTGCTAGATGTGACGTCTTATGACGTCCACGTTGACGGCTTGACTTAGCCTTCTCACTATCACTAGCCTTGTGGCTTAGCAATGTAGTAATAATCACAAGATGTTTTACGGCCAAGTGCCGGAGCAATGTTTTATTGAAGCGTTAGCTTACGTTATCTGAACACAACTGAATAATACTTGAAAAAAGAGTAATTTTAGTTTTAGTTGTTAATTTTGTTACGCATCTTTAGTTTTGTCCCCTTTTTTATAATCTTATTCAAAACATATTAAAAAATAAAACTTAAAAAAATTTCGTTAATTTGAATAAAAGGTCATTAATTTTGCACCTAGTTAAAAATTTAATTTTTTTTCATTTGTAAAAATTCAAACTCTTTCACTTCTTCTTTGACATTATTTTCAACTGAACTTAAATTTAAAGAATTTTGGGAAATTTGAAGCCGATATCCAAAATATACAACTAAATAAAAAATTTGGAGGCTCAAGCTTTTAAGTCGTACGAAATACAATTTAATAACTGCATTTCGGTCACGGTTTTAATCAATAACAATAAAACGTGAATAGTTATCAAATATTTGAAAAAAAAAAAACTTGATATGCGAATGCTATACACGGACCTATACAACATTTATGATCTCTAGATTTTATAGATCCTGACTGAGCGTTTCGTCCTGATAAAGAATATATAAATTAAAGTGGGAGGCTCTTCCAGCGATGGTCGTGATGATGCAGATTTACAATCTGTCCAATGGTTAAATGATGTATAGTTCCAGCGTTCACATGGGTAGCTATATGCAGTTGCTAGATGTGACGTCTTATGACGTCCACGTTGACGGCTTGACTTAGCCTTCTCACTATCACTAGCCTTGTGGCTTAGCAATGTAGTAATAATCACAAGATGTTTTACGGCCAAGTGCCGGAGCAATGTTTTATTGAAGCGTTAGCTTACGTTATCTGAACACAACTGAATAATACTTGAAAAAAGAGTAATTTTAGTTTTAGTTGTTAATTTTGTTACGCATCTTTAGTTTTGTCCCCTTTTTTATAATCTTATTCAAAACATATTAAGAAATAAAACTTAAAAAAATTTCGTTAATTTGAATAAAAGGTCATTAATTTTGCACCTAGTTAAAAATTTAATTTTTTTTCATTTGTAAAGAGTTTCTTGGCAAACTGTTTTTGTATTTGGGGACGCAATTCTGATCACGCAATAGCATTAAAAATATAACGATTCTTTTGTCGAGCTTATTTTTATGAGAGAGGTTGCATAAAAAGACAGAAAAACAAAAAATAATTAGAAATTAGAAAAACAAGTTGATAAAAAGGAGGCGTTGCCGTGATGAAGAGCACTGTACATCTAGCACGCCCCCCTCTACCTGCTACACACATTTTAATAAACCCATTACATATTTCCCATTTTCAATGGGTTCAGGGTATACCAAATTTTGTCAAAACAAAAGTACTTTACTCATCAACTTGAACATAGAAAACAAACATGTCATTGTAATATTATATTTGTTAATATACTTACTTTAAGTTCGTGTTTGACATCACGCAAACTGTGACTTTCATCCTCTAATGAATCCTCGCTACTGCGTCGCGAACCTGTTGCACGTGAAAGGTTAATAATACCACTATAGGCGTGGCGTGCAGAATGTACTGAGAGCGAGTCGCTAATGACATTTCCACTTGTGATTTGCATATCAAACGCACGATCTGCGCTTTGTTCCAATTCTTTTTGCTGCCGCTCTAGTTCACGCATACGTATCTCTCGAGCTTCAGCGCGGGCCAAACGTCGAGCTGCTAAACGTGCTTCGGCCTGTATTTAAAATTTACAGAAAATTAATGATCACTGAAAATTGTTATATAATTGTCATTTGTGTAAGGAGTTTGATTAATTTAAATATAAACATAATATATATTTATTTATTTTATTACAATAAAAATAATGGCTCAAAGAAAAAATTTTCTACGGTCCGGTTAACCCTCAACCTTATTAACTTAAAATATCAAAGTTGTTATTCAAGATAAGATATATAAGGAAAGGATATATAGAACTATTTGTCGGAATATACTCGGAAAATGTAAATAATTAATATTGAATTAGCCTCGGTGATAGGATCTCAGAAGATGAAACCTGACTACAGAACAATTCTAGTAAAAGCCGTTTTACCTGGCTAGCTCACACAAAAAATAATTAATGTGGTTGCAAATATAAAATAATTAGTATATAAAACCAATATTTTTAGATGTTCAAATAGAGGTATATACAGTCACGCATATCTGAATAGGTTATAGTTATTTAAAGTTCTAATAGATATATCTCATCATCGAGATCTGCCTTGTAATCTTTATGATTTTTATTAATTACAATAACTTTTTAATAAGAACCTATCGAATCTGATATTTTTCTAGCTCATCTGTATAGGTTTAAGAACTTAAATCTTAATTTGCGATCGATTGAATAGTTTTAAAATGTTATTTTAGTGAGTGTTTTAAATTTAAATGAATTATTCCCATTTTTTTAAAATTGGATCATGGAGTACCTTTCAGTCTTTAAAATAGGTCCAATAAAAGGTTATTTAAAAGGCAATATAGAATCTGATCCAAAACACAAATAGCTCTCAGGATTGACTGTTGTAATAAAGATGTAACAAATTTTTTCTGTAATAAAAAAACTCCTGTAAAAAAGCCGAATCAGAGCAGCGACATTTTCTGCAGACTGCCACAAATTCTCTCGCCTCTCGGCAAGTCTCTAGTTAAGCAACATAAAATGAATTATTTGAGGTTCCAAAATTTTAATAGTTTAAAAATTAAAAAGAAATTTTAGTTTTTTTTTAGCACGTGAAGATTCACATCTCCGATTCGAAAGAGAGCATATGATTTGAAACAAGCAGAGAAACCCTGTACACTCTCCCGACGAAAAGGAAATGCATTCTCGAGGGACTGTGGATTAGCTGCCGCCATATTCACCAGACATAAACATTATTAAAACATTTGGAGACTGCTCTAGGAGAGTTTACGAATGTGTAAAACAAGTTGAGCAGATTTGTTAAATCAATTAAAAAATCTTATTCAGCAACTTTGCTTAATGAAATGGAAAAACATTTCAATTGATTACCAAGGCAAATATTTGATATTATTAGTCATATTATTTTTTTTTTTTATTCAACGCCTTGAAATTTTATATATATTTTTTTTAATAAGTTTCGGTATTCAACCCTTGATTCGGTCGGTAGTTTTTTTTTTTTATTTGAGCCAACAAAAGGATCGGACTGATTAACTGATTAATATTTTATGTAACAAAATTTAATTGATTTAGATTTGAGCTTTCATTAAACGCATATATCTTATTTACCTAATCATTGGAGCGGCACCCTACTTGTTAATGAAGTTTTTAATATTATTATTTTAATTACCGTCTAAAGTCTCTAGCTCTTAAAGATGCTGATGCGGACAGACGGACAGGACTAAATCCACTCAGCGTATATATACTCAGAATATATATACTTTTTTAAATATAGAAACCAACCAAACAAGGATTTGAAACAATTGTTTACAAATATATCGTTTTTCTCAATAAAACGAACCCATTTTTATAAGAGCATTTGTTGTCTCTACAATAAATCTAATATTTTGCACGTTTTACTTATGCCCATTTACTCGATGGTTTGGCGTTGGGGATGCAATTATAATGAAATACAACATAAGAGGAAGAAAAAATTAATTTTTTTGTTATTGAATTGCAATTAAGATTGTGCTTAGCTTGGCAGAACTATTGTTTTGCTGAGGAGACTTGGTATCGAATCTTGACGATATATACATATATATATATTTTTAAAGCAGAATATGTGAACTAGTTTGCATCTCTACGAAGCCAATAGAATATGTAGATCATATTCTGAAAATTTTATAAAAATCTATTAAGTAAAACAGAAGTTATTAAATACAACGTTTGGCCAATTTGCAAAAGCACAAGCTAAGCAACGCCAAGTGTACGATTTTTTCCTATACATGTGCACACATACTACATGTAATTGCGTTTTCTTTTTATTTTATTCGAAGAATGGAAATTGCGATTCAATTGTGCTTGAACTATAAGGTACTGCTTAAGTTGAGATTTCCAACTTTTTGGACATACGGTGAAGTGGCGTTTTTGTTCGGGACGGCGGTCGTTGCCGATGATTTTTGGGTTCGAGGCTCGTAGTTTCTAGTCTGACTTCAGTTTTTGGCGACTACAACTCAATTATGCGCTAGGTTTGCTTAGATTATTTGCACTGAACATCGATTTTCAATTCGTCGCTAAAGAGATATTTATTTCGTATACTCATTGGTACCTTTGCTATATAAACTGAAAAGACACGACCACTAGGGGCCCAAAAAATCGAGTTATACTGTAACAAATCCGCTATTACTTATAATTAGACTTAAAATTTTGTTTATATACGCGTGTTGATTGATAAAAATATAGAAAAGATATATTTTTCGCCTATTGGGGCGTGGCAAACGGTATAAAACTTTATCTTCCACAGTTTTAGAGCTAGAGTCCCATTATGTAAATTACTGTTAAGATACTCTAAAGACCGAGGATTTAAAGTTAAGATATTCTAAATACGGTCAATATATTGGTGAGAAATGGTTACATACAAATGATTTTATACTAGGTGATGGTTCAATCATTAACCTAGTATTAACGGCATCCTCTTTATCTACTATGGACATCAAAAAACGCACGCTTCCCATTACATGCCAAAATAGCAATAAGTTATTTATAGAGTAAAATTAATGCTTTTTACAAAAATAATATTCATAATTGATAAGAAATTTTCGATAATCCACCGGTGTCTTCTCCCATTCCTCCAATATATAAGACTTAAAATCCCTTTTATTTGTTGGAATATGTTCAAAACGTAATATATTCCATGAATAGACGGTTGGAAGCGGTCATTGAAGCCAATATTGAAGTTAATATTGCCTTATTTTTGAAAAGTATTTCTGTGCAAACAGTTTCGTGTCACTTGAATTTGAATATGTTTTTAGTTGTTGTTGTTTTTTATGCCTTTGCTAATAGTTTTTTAATTTTTATTAATTATTTTTGTAAGACATTAATTTGAAAAAACATAATATAATTTAAAAACATATTGAAATCTCATACTTATTATATTTTTTGTATGTTAAAGAACAAAAATATAATTTGTTTTCCATGTGAAAACACTTTCGTGTCAAACTGTATATATTTTTAGCAATAAGGAAAAAAGGGAAACTTTTAAATACACGGAATACTGCTCTAGTCGAGACGGCTGGCAGTCTTACGTGTCTTTAAAAATTTCCCCTTTTTTCCTCATTATCGCAAATCATTAGACAAAAAATTGGGGTTCCCATTTTTAATAGGATCAGGGTATAATAATTGGTTATTAAGTGAAATTATCTAACCTAGGCATAAGTAAATATGAAGAAAACTACAATTATTATATATATGTACATCTTAATAAATTATTTAATCGATCTAAGTAGTTTTTGTTATAAAATTTTTTATTTAGATGATATATTTGTGATTGTATGGTTAGTTTCCCTTTCTAAAACGCTGAAAACATGTTTATTACCTCTTTTGTTATTTGATCCAGCGCGTTATCTTCGGCATTAACGCATATATTGTTTCGCCGCCGACCGGTGGCGTTAGTACTGTCCATCGCATACAAGATTATTTTTAAAATAATTACCACGTTTCGTCATAAGTCACAAAGCAATTTTAACTATCGTATGATTTTAATTTAGTCACTGAATTTCTCAATTGATAAGTATCTCAGCATTAAACTTTATCAAAAAACCAATTGATCTGAAATAAAATAAAACTACTTAAGTATTTTTGAATATAATTCATTTAAAATTATAATAACATATTTTTCAACCGATATGCACACTGTCTAAGAACGACATGCGAAATTTTTTGACATTATTTCGTCAGCTGGTAGAATTGTTTACGCCCGAATTCAACTTTTGCATAACATACATTAATATTATTGACTATTAAATTATATACAATCTAGATTTCGGAACATACAAAACTATACACACCTATTCTAATTAACAAAAAGATTTTTTTAAAAGAATTATTTGAAGCAAGATATCTCCCACATATTTTTGTGCTATTACTTTGTGTTAAATATGTAGATTTAGTTAAGTATTCAGTAAACTGATTTAAAAAACTTATTGAACATTAACAATTGCTCAGGATTATTATTTTATTAAATTCACTAAAGCCTTAATTTATGCAAGGATAGCCCAAGCCTTTTACAACATGTGTAAAATAATATAAAAGTTCTTTTAGCCACACGACAAGATCTGTGTCATCATACGCAGTTAATACTTAATACTTATCGTATTATCGTATAGATAGCGTTGATATTTTACAACAGTAGAATGAAACAAATATAAGCGAGATAACGGAAATATGTGCGAAATATATTTGATAGCTCACTTTTTTAAGGTGTTTCACTAAATATCAGTTAGCAATGAAATCCGTTCGTTGCTTTCGAATCAAACCACAGTTGTTTGGATATTTTTAGCGTTCCCAGGTGGACATAATCTAAATGGATGTGTATATTCTTCCAAAGGGATGTTGGACGTAGTGTAGATATGCTCATTGACAATGTATGTATTTTTATGCTTTATATTTGTTAATTTGATAAGGGGTTGAAATAAGATGTACAATCGAACATAATAGCTTTCAATTTCATTTTAGTTTTACTTTAAGTACAGTTTTGTTCAAGAGTTTTACGAATAAACACACATTGCTCCGGCACACTGCCGTTACTAAAATCATTTTGCTGATTAATATTTTAATTTTGATATCTTAATTATATCCCATCATAATCTGCCTATCAATTTGATCTACATTGTGCTCCGAACGACGGCTTCCCCTAACGCGGACCCTGGACGGACGTAACTTAATAATTGGCGCCCAACAAAACAGTCTACGAACCCACATTATGTCTCAGTTAATGTAAGTTCATAAAGTTGTAATTTCAAGTCAAACCACACATTAAGTGAAACGTATAGACAAATAATAAAAATACACCAGCGTGATTGGCAGCAGTAAATATAGTGACAAAATAAAAAAATAACAAACAAACACAAGTTTATCATGTTCTTTGCCAAGTTAGCCATTAAATAAAAAATAAAGCTTGTAAAAACACAGCAGTGATTGATTTGTTTCAGTGCAGTTCCGTAAATCAATGAGCCGCTTTGATTCAAATAGGCAAATAAAAACAGAAATCCCTAGTGACGAAGAGTGGGATACAGACCCCGAAGTTAATCAGACACAAAACTTAAGCAACCTAATAATGAATACGGAACAGGTTCAAGCCCTAATAAATAGCGCCTTACAGTGTCAAGAGGCTAGACATTGACTGGAATTAAATCAGTTACAACAACAATTAAATAGCTTGCGAATAGAAGTGCCTCAGGTAGAAACATACCAAAGGATATCGGTAGACCCAAACGTTAGGTGTGACCTACCACTTGACATAATAAAATCGGTACCCGGTTTTAACGGCATACCAGATGAACACGTAGCATGGAGGCAATCGGCCACCGATGCCTACGAATTATTCAGACCCTACGAGGGCAGTGTTAACTATTACCAAGCGGTAACAATTATCCGGAATAAAATCCGAGGACCAGCAAGAGCACTGTTAGTTTCGCACAACACTGTGCTAAATTTTGAGGCTAGAATAGCTAGGCTAGATTGCACCTATGCAGACAAATCTTCGCTACGCCTCTTACGACAAGGATTAGAATTGGTCAGACAAGGTGACCTAAGCCTCATGAGCTACTATGACGAAGTTGAACGAAAGTTATCTTTGGTCACGAACAAAATCGTCATGTGTCATGAGCCCCAACAAGCCATACTGCTTAATGATGAGGTTAGATCGGATGCTCTACATGCATTCATCTCGGGTCTAAGAAAGAACCTAAGAGCAGCCGTGTTTCCAGCACAGCCATAAAACTTACCGTCTGCATTAGCATTAGCCAGGGAGGCCGAAGCTAGTATCGAACGTAGTGCCTTTTCTGCTTCATACGCTAGAGCGCTAGAAGAAAGAGCTCAGGCGAGCGAGGGCAACAAATACCGCTCACACAATAAGCAAGGCAAAAATAATAGGGACAACAAGGATCAAGAAAGAAACCCTCACTTTGTAAAAAAACAGCAGAACCATCAGGAGAGCAAGAAAGGTGGCGAGGAAGATCTACCCGTGTCAATGGAAGTCGATAACTCTTCCAAGTTTAGACAACGCACGGAGTTCGGTAATAATCAGAACTTACGTTCACACCCCCAGAAAAGTGCAAACATGTCAGAGCGTTTTACAGGCGCCAGACGACAACGTGTTAACAATATAGCTCAAAACAACTCTGCCGACGAAGATCAGAAATACAAGGAGGCAGCAGAAAATGCTGTAGCTTGTATTGACGACGAAACCGAGTCCATTGATCTCAATGATTCGTTGAATTTTTTAGGGAACGCTCCCGGCTGCCGTTCATTAAACGACAGTTGGCTGGGAGAACCTTAAACATTTTGATAGATAGCGGGGCGGCTAAGAACTATATCAGGCCCGTAAAGGAGCTAAAAGTAGTTACACCAGCCGATAAGCCCTTCACTGTGAGCTCGATCCACGGCTACAGTAAAGTTAAAAATAAATGTCTGCTCAATATTTTTGAGCAGACATCCCCCTTTTTCCTGTTAGACACACTCACCTTGTTCGACGCCATTATAGGCTTCGACCTGCTAACGCAGGCGGGAGTCACGTTGGACCTTCAGGATAACACCTTGAAATACCTAGACAAACAAGAAAAGTTAGGATTCTACGAGTGTTCTAATGTCAATTTCACCAATGTGAACGACATAGTTGTACCAAGATCGGTAAAAACGGAATTCAGAGACATGATCATAAAGAGGAAAAAAGCGTTCTCTACCTCTAACGAGGCGTTACCTTTCAATACCTCTGTTGTTGCCACAGTTAGAACTAGAGACAGCGAACCAATATACTCCAAGTGATACCCCCTGCCAATGGGCGTATCTGATTTTGTAAACAAAGAAATTGAATGTTTACTCAAAGATGGACAGCAACGGCGACAACGACCTTGTGATCGACTTTAGAAAGCTAAACGAGCGAACTATTGCCGACCGGTACCCAATGCCTAGCATCCCTATGATTCTAGCGAACCTGGGAAAGGCAAAATTTTGTACAACCCTGGACTTAAAGTCGGGTTACCATCAAATTCTCCTCGCGGAACAAGACCGTGAAAAACATAATTTTCAATTAATGGCGGCAAATATGAGTTTTGTCGGTTGCCCTTTGGCCTCAAGAATGCGTCAAGCATTTTTCAAAGGGCTATAGACGACGTTCTAAGGGAACAAATAGGGAAAACTTGCTACGTATACGTAGACGATGTGATAGTTTTCTCAGAAAACGAAATCGACCATGTAAAGCATGTTGACACAGTGCTAAAGAACCTGTGTGATGCCAACATGAGAGTGTCACAAGAGAAAACTCAGTTTTTTAAAGAGAGCATTGAGTTCTTAGGCTTTTTAGTGACCAAACACGGCATAAAAACTGACCCCGAAAAATTAAAAAAACCATCCAAGAGTATATTGAACCAAAGAGCCTCTACAGCCTTAGGTCTTTCCTCGGCCTGGCCAGCTACTATAGGGTCTTCATAAAAGATTTTGCATCCTTAGCAGCTCCCCTAACAAATATACTCAAGGGTGAAAATGGCAAAGTTAGTAAACACATGTCCAGGAAAGTTGGGGTAAACTTCGATGAAACCCAACGTAACGCCTTTCAAAAATTACGCAACATTCTGGCATCAGAAGATGTCTGCCTCGTGTTTCCAGATTTCGGTCAATCATTCGACCTAACCACGGATGCATCAATGAGTGGCATTGGAGCTGTCCTTTCGCAAGGGGGCAGACCAATAACCATGATTTCAAGAATTCTCAAAACTAGCGAAACGCACTACGCGACCAACGAGAGAGAACTGTTAGCCATCGTATGGGCGCTAGGTAAACTGCATAACTACCTATATGGTGCCCAAGATATAAAAATTTTCACGGACCATCAGCCTTTGACATTCACAGTTTCCGAGAAAAATACTAACGCCAAGATCAAAAGGTGGAAAGCCTTTATAGACGAACACAACGCGACGGTACTTTACAAACCAGGGAAAGAGAACTTTGTGGCTGACGCCCTTTCTAGGCAAAATATAAACGCCTTACAAAATGAACTTCAATCGGACGCTGCAACGATTCACCGCGAACTCTCTCTGACCTACACGGTCGAAACGGCCGACAAACCAGTAAATTGTTTCAAAAACCAGATTATCTTAGAAGAAGCGTGTTTCCCATTACAACGCAAAAAGATACTTTTTGGCCAGCTGGTCAGCTTCACTGACAAAAATTCATTAATTGAAACAATAAAACCTCTCATTGTTACAGACGCAGTAAATGCCTTTCACTGCGACTTTCCGACACTAGCCAGCTTCCAGCATATTCTAGTTTCAAGCCTCCCTGCAACCAAGTTTTGGCACTGCAAGAACTATGTGCTCGACATTTCTGATAGAAATGAACAGATAGAAATAATATTGACAGAACATAACCGAGCGCATAGAGAGATGCACAGGAAAACATTAAAGAAGTCCTTCGTGACTATTATTTTCCCAAAATGTCCAAGGAAGTGGTTGCAAATTGCAAAGTTTGCACAAAATCCAAATACGAGAGACACACCGCAAAAACAGGAATTGGGTGCCACTCCAATCCCTTCATACGCAGGCGAAATATTGCACATCGACATTTTTGCCACCGACAAAAAACTATTTCTAACTTGCATTCACAAGTTTTCAAAGTGTGCCGTCGCACAACCACTACCGTCTCGAGCAGCAACAGATGTAAAAACACCCATTATCCAGCTAATAAACATTTTTCCTGAAATCAAAACACACTATTGTGACAATGAAGCGGCATTCAACTCAGAAATGATCACATCATTCCTGAAGAACAGCTACAATATAGGCATTATAAATGCACCACCGCTTCAAAGC